ACACACTCCTAACTTAACGCAGCCTTATCAGTGTATCTGAAATCATCCAGTTCAAGGCGGCATGTACGTGTGAGGCTGTAAAATATGTCACACAATTATTGATAGCTACTTGATTTGATGCAAAGTGTCCTAAAACAAGTCGTTTTTCTTTGATGTGTGCTCTTGAAATGTTAGAATTTTGATACCCCGAAATGTCTTTTGATCTGAGCTTATTCCAAATTTTTCAGTGAATTGTTGAAAACAAGTAGAGCTGCCATCAGGGCGCGCCCGTAGCAGGTTTCAAATAATTGTATTGAGGGGAAGCACTGCCTCATGAAACATTTTGCCCAAAGCGCAACTTTGAAGAGCGATCATTCTTGCATTGAATAGTAGACAACTGACTCGTGGCAAAGATAAGAATGTGGTGCCAAATTTTGCTTTTAAACAAATAAGAGCTGAGAAAAACCAAAAAGGAAAAATGTAAAATGTTTGAAAGGTGTCGCGAGCTTTGTTCTGGAATTTTCCAGCTACTGAAAAGCAAATATTGATTCATTTGCAAGCAGAAATGATCAAGTGTTCTGATGACTATGCGCGAAATAAGAATGAAGTATGAATTCTTAAAAAACTCATGTAGCGAAGAACGTGCTGAATTTTTCTCAAATTGTAGTAGAACAACTTTGCTTCTGGCGTTTGACTGCCACTCTCAAGCCGCGCTCTGATTGTCAATGATGATTTGCAAATTTGACGAATTGCAAATTTTTTTCAAATTTCCTAACTGCTTTAGCAGTCGACGTTCTGTCCCCTAGAAGCAATATGCGCAAAAAAAGAGATTTATGATTTTGATTATACTTATTCTTATTACGGATTTCATCATGTACCTCTAATTTAAATCTATGATTCTTTTATTACAACTGGTTTTTCATTTTTGTGTGCATGAAAACGTGGAGTATGTAACAAAGCCACATCATCACTATCATCAGTATGCAACATCCAGTGGCACTATACGTACAACTTACGGTTGCGATAACTTTTCTCTCCTTGACTTCATACATCGCAGTAAGTTTTTTCCAACAAGGAAGGAATACTCATGACTGTGACTTTCTAAAGTGTGCTATATATTAGAATGCTTGTCTCAAAACTCTGATTTCGGAACTACGTTCGTTATCTGCGAAACGCTTTGCTGAGAAGAAATAGCGCTTATAAAACCGAACACAAAAACATTCGCATAGGAAGAGATCACACCGACATCCATTTATTGCGCAATAATCGACAGTAATCGCAATAATCCGCAAATAACGAACACAGTTTTGAGATCTGCTCTAGGAGAATGTCATGATATGTGTCACTCAGCGCAAGTTCACCGACTATTCTTTCCATGTATATTTTATGCACTATGGTACGCCGCGCAGTCTGGCCCAACCGTAACTGCTTAAAGCGAATGTCAGCTCATTTCAGCAGAGTTCATTTAGAGTTCATTTAATGAAATCCTCCTCTCCTCCGAAGTAAAGCCTTACCTCTCTATCCGTCAGAGGGTGCCGGAAGATGTACTAAGTGAGAACCCTTTTCGTATTGTGAGTTTCCATTTGAATGATGGAGGTATCACTGAAAAAAAAACCTTTTTATATTGACGAGCAATGCAGCGAACTTTACGGAACATGTTTTGAAGTGGTTGACCAATACCACAAAAGTGAGAGCGGGTGAGTTTGTATCCGGTCTTTCATCTACAATTTTGTTACACTTTGTGAGCAGACCACCCTTGGTCTTTCGTTTATTGAAGAAAAAAGGCGGGAAGTGGGAGCTTTACCTGTCTTACGCGCGGCTACTACCACCAGAACGTAGGTCGTTCGATTCCTCATTAAGTAGCAAAATCATATCTTGCAGCTTTGACTTTTGATGGAATTGACACAAGAACCTGGGACATCGACAAAACATGGGTGCATTTGCATTACGCTCGTATGATGATCACAGCGCCATTCTTTAGTGGAGCAGTCGTTTACAATCCTGAAGATTCTGAAATGACTTATGAAGCCCTAGTTTTGGGACTTGGTGGTGGAGTAATCAACAGCTTTCTCAGCGATGTTGTTCAACAAAAGCTTTGTTTTTCATTATGTATAGAAGACTTCAGCCGAGTTTTTATTTGTCTTATTGTTTTAGATTCGTGTCACTAGCGTAGACAACGATCCAGTGATGATATCAATTGCGAAAAAGTGGTATCAGCTCAAGGAGTCTCCTCGTCATAAAGTCGTAATTGATGATGCGATACATTTTGTCCAGGATGAAGCATCTAAAGGTTGTGCATGTTTTTGCACGATATGTACCATGCATGTTTTTCCAGGCTCGAAGTACGACGTAATTCTTGTGGATGTCTGCTACAATAAGCTAAGAAGCGTGTTATGCCCAATCGACGAATTTCTTAACGATACTGTCATTAAGCAAATGAGCGCCATCTTGAAAGACCATGGTGATGCTTTGTTCGGGCCTTCAGGAACAGTTCCAGCGCTCTCGCACCGTGCTGGTGTCCCGAAACTGTCCTGTATGCGCTGCAAGCCGCATGCAATTTGAAGCGGCGGGAGTTGGAGAATTTTAATGGTTTCTGTTTCAGGTTTTTTCAACTTGGCCTTATTCCTCTAAAATTTCCTTTTGATCAACGGAACTCAAGCGAATGAAGAATGAGCGCTCTTCTGCTCTGTGTATCGGACAAATTGTGTGTTCTTGCTTTCGTCCATCCTCTTCGTTTTATTGTAGTTCCGCATTTGTATTGAAAGGGGCACAGACAGGTTTCTTGAACACATGAATTAGGTCCAACAAAAATAGAAGAGAGAATGGACGAGCATCACAAAGACCCATCTGCGCGGATACATGGAACAGAATAAAGTCAATTCTTAACTCGATTGAACAGCTTTTCTCGTCGCGAGGAGAAGCGGGGAAAAAAACGAAGGGATAACCAACGATATGGAAAAAAAAGCTGAGAATGCCCAGAAACGAAACTCATCAGGAAACAAGAGAAAAGTCCCAATTTCCGCATTTTCGATTTATTCGCATGCCCCAACTCAATGCAGATGCCTGTGAAAACAACGCAGCTTACTGAAACGAATGGGTAGTTCTGAGCAAAAATACAACTGGAGAATATACGAACGCAAGGGGAAGCAGGGTAGAGGAATAAGGCCAACATGAGAGAAACCTGGAAGAAAAACCGTTAAAAATCAAAATTCTTCAACTTGGGCCGCTCAAAATTCTATGCCGGCAGCTGCAGTGCATGCAGCACAGTTCCAGAGCAATTCCAGCACAGTACGAAAACTGTACTGAAACTCAGTAATTAGATCAAATGCTCTCTTATCTTCAAACCTGGGCATTTTGTGAAGTGTCAGTATATGCCGTGTTATGCCAAACCAGGTTTTTGGTGGATCTTTAGAACCTAATGGTTTCGACAGTCTCGTCTTTTTCAGAGTTCTTAGATCCACAGCATTTCAGTAAGCCCGCATACATGGTCAGTAAGAGTGACGTCCGTAACTGACCATCTGTGCGGGCTTACTGAAATGCTGTGGATCTAAGAACTCTGAAGAAGACGAGACTGTCGAAACCGTCAGGTGTTATAAAGATTCACCAAAACCTGCTTTTGCATAACACGGCATATACTGTAATGAAGCTGTTCCGGAACATCTAGATCAGTATGAACCTATCCTTAAACGCTTATTCAATTTTTTTCGGCTCAATAAGGCCAAAGTGATTGCAGGAGCTATAGTTGTCAATGTCATTCCAAGCCGTGGCACTTCTGCATACGACGAGGTGCGCATATGAGAGGCTACTCCGATATTTCAGTTTCTTTTTTAGATCAAGCATACTTATTCTCGGCATCTTCCTTCTTGCTACCTAATGAAAATTAGCGGTTCGCAGGTAATTGATGTCTTTCGTCTCCGCTGCCTTGTTGATAATATTTCAGATTCTTATTTGTTCTAAAATCGAAAACAACGCCTGGGATACTAATCGAAAGAAAATTGCGGAAGTTTTTGAGATAGTAGACAATGACTTCGTTTTTTCTATAGCACAGTATGCTATAGCAATGACAGACAACTCTACAATTAGTGATCAACTGAATTAGTTTTTCCTTTCACAATTTGTGTTTCTAGGTACCTACTCATGTTTCTTCTGAAACGTCTGTATATAGATGCTAGACTGATTGAGTCACAAAGGCCAAGCACTGCTTTCTTGTTTCATAGTCAGTTGGGAACAAAGTATTGCATCATCTTAGCACTGCTTTCTTATGCTACAATCAGTTTAAAACAAAGTTCAGCACCAAAATTTTGAAAACTCCTTGTGTTCCTCCAGACTCAATGAAATTAAATGGATACATATTAGAGATTGGAAAACTTATATTGCTTGAAACAGAAATTCATTGTCATATTGCGGCAGTGAAAGCTGGTGAAAACAAATATTCAACTAAATCTTCTACGAATTCGTTAGCTAAAAATGCTAAAAAAGCAACATATTTTCGATTTACAATTGGATTCTCTTTCAAATCGGGTAAGTTCGCACTGATTGGATGTGTTTACAAAGAGAGTGTAATTCGAATTCTTTTATTGAGTTTTTTTGATCATGGTAAAAGTTTTGATATCAATAAGGGCTTACTACACATACCATAGACAACAAAAAATATTATGCAGACTGAATAAATCAACTGAGCTTCTGAGGTGGCATGAATATCAAATGCAACTCGGTCCTTCAGAAATAGAGATAACCAGGGTCGAGCAAGGGGTGTGGCACACGATCGCTGGTCACGACCCCCACCCCTTGATTGATGTCTTAATAAGACCCCCCCCCCCTGAACTATACACTTAAGATAGCATTACTTGAAGGCCCTGTCAAACATAATGGGCAAAATATCCCTAATTAGCATGTCAAATAACCCTTGTAGACAAAGTGTGAGCGAATTCCGAAGATTTAAGATACTAGGCTAGCTAAGTGAAATGGTCAAATTCCAACATGGTTAACTTTGTTTCAAAGGTGAATTAGCTATCCGATTTTGCAGAAAAGACAAAGCACTACTCCTTTTTTGTCCACCTCAGGAATCCCGCTTCAGAAGACCTCCAAACTGTGGAATTAGAAGCCAACCAAAATCTCGTTTTTCCCATTTTTCGCTTTTGATCGCTGTGTGCTTTCACCAAATATTATTTAGAGCTAAGAAGACGAATCAGGCTCAGAACACTCCTATGGAATCTACAAGGTTTAGGCTATCTGATATAGTAAATGGCTTTTTGATATAGTTAATGGGGTGTGCCGCACCCCATTAACTATATCAAAAAAACATTTTTAGCGGACAGTATTTACATGAATCGATAGCCTAAGTTTTGTAGATTCCATAGGACTGTTCTGAGCCTGATACATCTTCTTAGCTCTGAATAATATTTGGTGAAAGCACAGCGATTAAAAGCGAAAAATGGGGAAAACGAGATTTTGGTTGGCTTCTAATTCCACAGTTTGGAGGTTTTCTGAAGCAGGATTCCTGAGGTGGACAAAGAAGGATTAGTGCTTTGTCTTGAGTGCAAAAACGGATAGCTAATTCACCCAAACAGAGTTAACCATGCTGGAATTTGACCATTTCACTTAGGTAGCCTAGTATCTTGAATCTTCGGAATTCGCTCACACTTTGTCTACAGGGGTTAAATGACATGCTAATTATGGATAGGATACGATTAACATGTTATCACTATTATCAGATTACCCAACTACGATCCCCCTTCCCTTTTGACTCCTCAATACGACCCCCCAGGTGTGGCGTGCCGCACCCCACGCTTGACCCTGGAGATAATAACGGTTTTCTTGCACTCCAATACTTAGCCAAAGTACTCAAACAAGCTCCTTTCTGACACATAGTGCCTAAGGCGCGTATGCATTAGCATCCCTGCGGCAAGGGAGCGGCGTCCCCATTGATGAAAAAGCCGCAGCGGCGTTTGCCCGGGATCCATTCATCATGAAAAACTCCGTTTCCCTCACCCCAGAGATATCAATGCATTGGCTCTAAATCTCATCTGTCTGTCATGTTTCAAGCAGATGATAATCCGGATTACGCGCCCAAAGTGAATGTTCCTGAAGTTGTTCTGAACTTACTAATTAATTCAACTGTACTTCTTTGCCTTTCTTTGCTCAAAAACTATTCGTCTAAAGTTTAGGCCCTAGTTCAAGCTACTAACCCACACTTGCTCAAGCACGACTGTAACTACTTGGAGTCATATCCACTACACTTGGAACAAGGTTTTTTTTTTCAGAAGTTACTACGCTCCTTTATAGTGTTCTGATGTTCCAAAGAAACACTTAGCGTATTCTGGATTCACATCACTGTAGATTTATCGTAGTAGAAGTTTGAGCATTTTGGGAATTTCTGGGATTTTCATGGTCTAGATACCCGCGTTATGCTTATTCGAAAGATTTGAATCAGAAACATGTGTTAACTAAAAAATGATGACGGCAACATTTGCGCGGATGCCAATACTATGCTTTTGCATGCCAACAACTTGTTTGTGATTTGCGCGTCGAAACTAGTCACACGCGCAAATGTTGTCGGCAACGCAAGAACACCGTGTTTGCCATCGGATCTACTACGCTATGTGCTCACCTTCCTAACATGATTGAATCAGGACAAGCATGGATGTTCGTAAGTATGTCAGAGTATTTAGCAGATTATTTTCTAATAATTTAACGGGAACTAATACGGAATAAAGTTATGATAAATGTGGTAGACACTTTTTGCTACATATTTTCGTAGAGCTCATTACCAACAAGGAAGGGACTTTCACTGGCGCTCCATGTAGCCCACAACTAGCCGATTTGACTCTAACTTCCATGGAATACCATTCATTTTCTGACTAAGAGACCGAGCATGCTCTACGTAGTCTGATTAACAAGTTTGAGAGTGCGTTTTAACATGTTTTGGTAGATTACTGATGGGAATTCGTGAAAAAAAACATGTTGAGCTTGTTGTACTACGCAAGTTCGACATGTTCTTTCATGAATCCCTGATGGTAATACACCAAAACGCGTTAAAATGCACTCATAAACTTGTTAATCTGTTGAGCTTGTTGTACTACGCAAGTTCGACATGTTCTTTCATGAATCCCTGATGGTAATACACCAAAACGCGTTAAAATGCACTCATAAACTTGTTAATCAGACGTGTGCAAAGCGTGTTCGTGTCTTTTACAGGGGGAAGGATTTCTAGTCAAAGTGGCTTTTCCAGAAAAGACGCATACCATCTTGAAGGACATTAAACACTGACTCCGAACCTGTCTTTCTTATATGCTTAGCGTCTCTGGATAAGAAATTAGGAAAGCTTTAGTAGCGAATTTTTTAATTGGTGCGAATCTTGTTTGGAGCACATTATTTTTCGGCCTTTGTAAGTTGGCCATATACTGTACGTCTGACAAAATCAAAAAAAATCATTTATGAAAGCCTTACGAAATCCAGCTTTCTATGAAAAGAAAATTTTATGCTTGTTACTCATATGCTCGCCATATTTCCATCTAGAAATTGGTAAGCAACGCAAAAGTTGACGGAAATATTTTTTGACGAAGTTGGTCGCCTATAGTTTCTGGCCACAATCGCTCGCTCGCTCGCTCGGGTGTTTCCATGGCGGGCAGTTACGCTTTACCTAGCCTGTAAAAACTCGTTATTAGCGATTTTCTTTTGATTCAAACAATTGGCTCTTATTGGTATCTGTTTCATTCAAACACACCGCCTAAATACAGCTTCCAGCTACCCAATAGCTTCCAGCTACCAATATTTTGGCTCAGCTGTTTTCTTTCCGATCAAAGGGTTTCCTATTGTACACTAAATGTTATGAGTGCTTCAGAACGCCCGACAACATAAACTCCATATTATTGCCATTAATAATTCGTAACGACCCCTTGAATCGATGCGCTGTCCACCATCCACATAGACCTGGCCGTTTTTTTTTCCTTTCAGCGAGCTGAACGCTCTCACATACTGGGCGTTCGCTTTTCTCTCGTGCAAAGGGTAGATTACGAAATCTCGCAGAAATCGTTACTGACTGCACGCTCCGTTGCCCACTTCCTTGTCTTCTTTCTATCTATCTACTTTCTTCGTTAGGGCCTAGAACTTGTAGCGCCTTAACCGTACACCTACCGTATCTCCGCAGTAGAGGCTCTGTCACCCGAAGTAGTAAACTCGTCTTTCAGTGGGCAATCGCGATCTAGGTTTTGCCTTTGTTTCCAAGTGAAGGCGTTGCTTTTTTAGAAGTTCTTTTATCTAGCTCTCCTCATTAAAAAATCACAAACATAGTCACGGGTATGCGCGAGTCATTCGTAATTCAGTTTGTGGGTACATACTGACTGAGCGCATTAACTCACGACTTCCTAACAGTACCTGTCAGTCACGTTTTAATGGAAAAAGTTGCCGAAATGTGCACTACTGTTTGTTATTTATCCAATCTAGTTAAACTAGAAAAGAAAATAAGGAGAAATCCCTGGAATTGATAATTTTTGATGTTGAAAGTCGTGAAGTAGCGCGCTTGTTGTGCAGTACGCATATTGACCCGAAAAGATTCGACTTTCCAGACCTATGCGGTTCAAACGGTTTATACTTATAAACCGTTTGAACCGCAGTTCATCCCATTTACTGTTAGTCAGTCCAGCGACTTGACCAATAGCGGATAGGTGAACCTAGTGAACCCTTTGAACCGGATAAGTCTGGCGCCTATCTTACGCAAAGCAAATCTTTGTAATCTCTGTAATCTGTGATCGTGCACCACGTAAACTCAAATTAATTAACATCGGCTCCCAGATTGCCGCGAGGGCGGAAGCGGGCGAGCGTATCGGCGATGCGGTTGCCCAGTGTTGAAACATAGCTGATAAATTGATTATCGGTTAACCATCGCAGCCGCCCTACCGCCAGTTTAGGAGCCGATGCGATCTGCGCCGACTCAGCAGAGTTTATAATATCCTCTCAGTTCACATATGATATATGGGCTGACAGGGACTTTACCCACTATCTTGTGGGTGCAATTGCACAACTGCGCTTTTTGGCGACTCCTTTAGTATAATCCCGTAGCTTTGATCGTTAATATAGTGGTCTTTTGCCGAACCCTCA